ATTGAAATGAACAGAGAAACATAAACAACTGCTGTGTGAAAGTGAAGAGATCAAATGATTTTGAAATCTTCCTTCAGAAATAAGAGATGACGAAGAAAGAACATGGATCCCTTCCCAGTGTTCTCAATACAGCAGCGGTCCTGTCCACCACTCATCTAATATTTGTCACATTACCAGAAGCCACACAAGCAACATCCATCAAAGCTTCATTTCTACACAAGGCTACAGCAAAGATGGGGATGAAAGGCCTGGACAGGCTTTTGTAGAAATAATACATTCTTAGGCATTTATCCTAGAAATATTTACACAAGTGGTTGTTCACTGTAGCCTTGTTAGTAATAGTGAAAAACTAGAAACAATCTAAATATTTATCAGTGGGGGAATTGAATAAAGAAATCATGGTATATTTGCACAATGGAATTCCATACAACCATTTAAAAAATATAAAAGTAGATATGTATGACTAGGGAGACAGCTCCCAAATACACTTTAAAAATGAAGAACAGTTTAGAGAACAATCTCTTTAAATATATACATGCATAGAAAAGTAATTAGAAAGCAATTTCTCAAACTGTTAATTTTACTTCTATATGTTTCTGTGTCACTTGAAACATTTTTACAACAAACAATATATCACTTTTAATCTAAAAAAGATTTTTAGGGTTAAAAAAGTGATTTTTAGGGTTTTATAAAAGTTCTGGAAATCCATCGTCAGAAACTGAACATTTTAAGTGATACCTTTTACCCACCAGATGTTCTTTGAACACACTACAAGAATCAGAAGAGGAATTATTGGTAGTGGAATCTGCACAGGAGAAAATGGGTGAAAGTACTGTGTCTGGCTGCACTTATACAGGGGCAGAAAAATGAGGAGAGAACACCTGAACCAGCTGTTTATGAAACCTTGAGATAGGAGACACCAGTAGTTTATAGAATAGTAAGTACAAAACATATTAAGTCCTACAGAAGATAAAGAATGTGAATATGCTTGTTTGAGAGTGAACATAAGCCATACGAACACAGCACTGAGAATTATAGTGGGCAACATATTTATGCCACGGTAGCAGGAAACGTTATCTTTGGGCATAAACTTGCTTGTTAGTAGTGAATGAATGTGAAAGTTCTCCAAAAGCTTTCCAAAGGAGTTGGACAAGTTACAAGCATGTTAATAAAAGAATGAATTAGTATCCATTTCAGATTCAAAGTAGAGCTAAGTCTTTGAATCTGATTTAGCAACAGCTATTTTTTGCAGTTAAAACATTGCCATGGTAATAAATGGAGAATGGAGAAAATATTTTAAAAAAGAAAAATATCTATAACAATCATAACTCAGAGATAAGCACTATTAAAATGTGTATTTTAATGACTTTTTTATTTTCTACCTATATATAAATTCTATGAAAATGAAATATGTATTTTTATCATAGCATCATTTTTTTTCATTTTGCAATCGCTCATGCACATTCTTCTGTCGATGTTTGTTTTATCTTACAAGCATGATTCTTAGCAGCTCCACTGTATTCCACTGTAAAGACATACTATAATTTACTTAACCAAGCCTCTATAATTGGACATTTCTGTTGTTTCCAATTTTTTCACTATAAGCAATGCTTTAACAATAAACACTTTCAGAACTAAATCTTTACACATATACTTAATTATTTTCTTGTGGTAAATTATCAGAAGTAGACCCATTGCCAAATTGCCAAATCGCCAAATTGCCCTCTGGACAGGTTGCTCTAGCAGTGTATTGATAATTTCTGTTGACAATATTAGGGTTTAGAAAATTTTAATCAAACTATTTAAAAATGAAAAATAAAACACTGTTATGATTACTTTTCTTTAAAACCACTTGTAAGTATCAATCTATTGGTCTCCTGACTCAGTCATTTCACAAAAAGTACTGGGTATGTCCCACGTGCCAAGAATGAAGCTGGAAGATACTGAGGATACACAGGTGAGGAAGGTACAGCTCTTGCCCTTGAAGATTTTCTAGTTTAGTGTGCAAATATAAATAATCCCAGAAGATGTAAAGGACACCAGAGGAAGGGACTCCTAACTCTCCTAAGATAGGCATCACAAGGAGGTCACATTTAGGCTGTAGCTAAGTGCCAGCAGGAGTTTGCCAGGCAGAGTAGAGAAAGCAGGGCAGCCCAGGTGCCCTGAAGCCTAGAAGGCAGATGATTCTGTGGGATTGGAACCTGGTGGGAAATGGGGCGATCTTGCAGAGCAAGTGAGATCTCGTATCCCATGTAGAGGTTTTACCACACCAGGAAGCTTTGGGGAGCTATTAAAGGATTTATGTAGGGAAGTGGTATGATCCACTTTATATTTTAGAAATTTGTACCCAGAAATGTAGTGATTACAGGGTGTTCTCAGAGTAAATGTGCAAACCCAGGGAGGACCAACGTAGCTCCAGGCAGGGAAAACACCAGCATCAGCTCTGCCAATATTGTCTAACAGGTCAAATACGAAATTAAAGGAGAACCCAGAGTCTTCTGATCGCCAGGGTATTAGATCATCAATTCATAACGCTATAGAGCTGGAAGTTCCCTTACCCTTTACCTGCTACTAAACTCTCATTTTTACAGGTGAGGACATCAGTAAGCAGCTTGCTACAGGTCTCAGATACTGACCCACATTTCCTGGGAATGTACTTACAAAGTTCTATTTTATAGTATGAGATCTCTAAATTGAAAAAAAAGTTTCCTATGAATTTCAAAGCTTTGGTTGACAGTTTAATAACATTTACTCCTTAAATGATGACAAGCAAAATTTTGAAATTGCATTTAAAATAGATCAGAGAATTGCCAAACAGTATAATGGAAAGTAACATTTATTTTTAAAATACACAAACAAAAATCCTTAAGCTTAAAAATAAATGGATATGATCTGGTTTAGAATAAATCTTATTTTCAAACTTGCTCATTTATTACTGATCCTTAAGTCAATCTTATCTTTGACAAACCATGACACATCATTTGGAAATGAAGTTGCTCGTATTCAACCACTCACAAACGTACTGGTCTTTCCCTTCTCTGACCCACCTCCATATTAAAGCATTTTCTGGAACACATATAATAGATTTTAGCCAGTGGAATTAAAATTTAAAAATCTGCTTCCAAGACTCATCACTCCTCATCCTTTCTTTCCTTCTGCTTAAACTATATATGCTAAAAAAGGACTAATTCCCAATTACTTACAACTTGCTACTAATCAGTGTTTCCAAGTGACCCTAACGTGATTAATCAAATTCCCTATAACACCTCCCAGTAACTTACACTAACAGGTTTCACTGAAGTGTCGCTTGCAAGCTGTCAAAGGGCCAACAAACATCAACATACTAAGTGTTTTTGCCCTTGAACACATAATTTCTCTGTATCAATGACTTTGTGAAGGGAGGAAGGTGCCCGTTCTCTTGGCTGTCTCTGGCTGTGTACATTAACAGGAAAAGCCTGTGCCACGGTCACTCACAAACCATAAGCCACTGTAATCCCATCTGCTCAGAGGTCATGGTGGATCATATATAACCACCACCACACAGCAGAGCAAGTCCTAGGGCAAGACTTGAAAGAGCCTCCGCCTCCAGCTACTGGAGTGAGAACGTGAGCCAGGATGGGGCGCCATGCTGTCATTCTGAGCTACAGTGCACCGTGCGTGCTGTCCCAGACAAAGCTGGGCTCCCCGGATCACTGCAAAAGAAGGAGGTGGGATATCCGTCCATGTTCGACCTCTCTCCTTGCCTTTCAACTCAAAGGCCACCTCCTCTATGAAGTCTTCTTTGATTGACCCACTCTGAATCATCTCCCGGGGCCTTCTAATCATGTTACCCTCTCCCTCTGGTGCAGTGACTGGCTGCAGGGATAGTTGCATCACCTGAGCTAAAAGCCAATTAAGAGTCTCCCACTGGATTTTTATGCAAACACTACCTTCTTCCAGAGCTTCCTTTCTTCTAGAATGGCTACGTAGGTTGGCAAAAGCCTGCGGCCATGCTTTCTATTTCATATTTTTTCCTTCCACCACCTATGGCGTTCTGCCTTAAAACACGCAGCAGAGGAGTGCGTGGGAGCCAAAATCCACCCTGCACTCTGCACACCCTGGCAAGAGGCTACCTTCAACCAGAGGGAGGGAATTCCCCTCCTTTTTTCAAACAAAGGCTCTGTCTGCTCACCAAGTCTTCTACTGCACACAAAGGCGTCACATACACTAGGGAGAGATGTGCAGGAAGATCAGCAGGGCCTCCAGGGTCACACTTGTCCTTCCCGGTTACAGCCACCACCACATTCCTTTTCCACCTACACTGGCTTCAGTTAGGTTCTTGTCACTTGTAACCAACCAAACAAGTCCTGACCAATACAGCAGACCAGATACCCAGACTGCTTTGGATGAAGCACCACGTTTGTGTTAGTCTTAAACTTCCTCTTAGCCATAGTCTTTGAACCCTTCCTTTCAATCTCCAAGTCCTCACATTTCCCAAGTCAGACATGGAGTAACTCAACCCTGCCTTTTCTTTCTTAAAGACCGAGAAAGCCTCTATCAGAGATAATGTGCTAAAGAAATCAAGTTAAACCTGATAACGCTGCTACTTCATGAAAATGATTAATTATGATCTCTTTCCCAACATTTTTAAAAATTATTTTTTAAATTGAAATATAGTTGACTTACAATGTTGTGTTAGTTTCAGGTGTACAGAAAAGTGATTCAGTTATATATATAAATACTTTTCCAGATTCTTTTCCATTATAGTTTATTATAAGATACTGAATATAGTTCCCTGTGCCGTACAGTAGGTCCTTGTTGTTTATCTGTTTTATATAGAAAATAACAGGTGTGCACCTGTTAATCCCTCCCAACATTTTCTGGTAACCCGTCAGCAGCAGAGTATGCTGTCCAAACACTGGCTGTCCCTGCCCAATCTGAAAATAAGGTCGTTGCTAATCTTCCCTCGCAAGCCCTGGCACGTCTTGCTGTGTTGTATTTGTAAGGCGTGGATCACTCACCCTCTCTGGTGTCTGTCCAGTTCATGGAGCACGGTGTGGTCACAGTACTCAAACACCAGGTGAAGCCTCCGCTTTCTCCTGAAGACTTCAATAAGGCTGACGAGGTTGGGGTGCTTGAGTTGCTGAAAACACAAAAAAGCAAGGTGCTAAATTGAGGTTGTCAAAGACAGCTGTCTCTAATTTTGGTCCGATAAAAGAAAGCTGTCTTTTAGAAAAAATTCTTGTCTTGGATTGAAGGAGGCTGTAAACAGCACTGTCTGGCTTCATGGGCTGTTTGTTAGCAGCTTGTAAGTGAAAAATTATCATAACCCAGGTGGTGGGTGAAGGCAAAGAGAGATATGAGAAGGCTGGCAAAAAAAGAATGAAAAAGAGGGAGGTGGTTTTGAGTTAATACAAACTCATCCTTTAAGACTCAGATCAAATGTCCCCTCCTAAAGAGTCCTCTCTGATCTCCCCAGACTGGTTCAGTGTCCCTCATAGGCCCTCTGAAATGTGAACCCTTCAGGATTACTAGGTGATTGTTTAATTGATTGTCTAATATCCTGTCATTAACACAACAGATACAGTCCACAGAACACAAGGACCATGACATCAGGGTCTGTGTTCTCTCGTCTACTCAAAATGATGGACCCCCAGCACGGGCCTTACACATGATAGGCATTCAATAAATATCTGTGAATGAACAAGGAAACCAGGTTTCCTAGGCTGATGAAACATTTTAAAACAGAAAAATGAGGAAGATTCTCCAATCTGATGTGCCTGAAGGTGTATATCCGCGAAAAAATGGCCAGGAATGAATGGTGGTGTTGGCAGAAATAAACCTTATACTTGGCTTTCTGGCCCCTTCTGTCCAAGGTCCTACTGGCAACACTACAACTAGGCAAACTATTGTGGAGAGAGCAAAAATGGTTAACTTTCCTCAGGGTGGGAGGGCCTCCAGGCCGTGGTCTAAGAGAGCAAATGAGGAAGCCGAGAGGCTTCTTAAGGCCTGGTCTCGGGAATCCCGGGAATCCTGGGACGTAAGTTCTGCCTCAATCTAGCAGTCAGAGCAAATCACCAGACCCACCCAGATTCAGCCCTGAAGCAGCCAGGATGAAACACCGTGAGCAGGGCCCAGGTGTCCAGCTGAGCTCAGTCCCTGCCGACCCCCACCTAGCGCAGCCACTTGAGTGAGCCCGGGCCACACCAGCTAAAAGAAGCACTTAGCCAAGCCACAGAATTGTGAGAAACAAGAAATCATTCTTTTTAAGGTCCTAAGTTTGGGGGTGGTTTGTTAATGCAGCAGTAGACAACCCTGTATCAGAATCACCAGAGGAACTTTTGAAAACTACAGCTGCCCAGAGATCCTGAATTGGTCTCAGGAATCTTTCCAAAATCCTTCAGGTGATTCGCCATGTCGAGAGAGGTAGTAATCACAGGCAAACTCCATACGTGATGAAAGGCTGAAGGAGAAAAGCTGAGGCCCTCGAGCCGCACGCTCTAGCACGTCTGCGTGGACAGGGAGGACAGAAACTGCCGGCAACGGAGGTACTCACAAAGGCAGTTATGCGCCCATTTCCTTTGTAAAATCCCTCCGAATCTTTAAGATGTGAAATTCCTGCTCCAGATGTTACACTTGATGAAACCAACATAAAACAGCCAAGATACTATAAAGCCCATTAGCCCCTGAAGAGAAGGCACTCCAAGCTATTAAAACCCCACATTAAGGTCACTGTATCTAAATGGAAACTTTTAGCCTGAACTAACTTTTTCCAGACAAAAGAGGACAGAACTGACTACTCTTTTTTTTTTTTTTAAATGCAGGTACTGGGCATTGAATCCAGGGCCTCATGCATGCTAAGCATGCGCTCTACCACTGAGCTATATCCTACCCACCCCCCACTACTGTTTTAAACCAAAGAATTGCATTGGCTCAGATGTCTCAAACAGAAAGTAAACAACCCAGTTCAAAGAGGGTAAAAGGCAGCTTTAGGACAATTAGCTGAAAGCAAAGATTTTCTTACAGGCTCTGAAAAATTTTTGCCTGTAGGCCCAGACCTCAAATCTCAGATTCTTTTAATTTTCCACATTCCATATGTTTTCTTCACTTACATCTTCAGCCAACTGTTCTAGTAAAAGTACAAATGTATCTCTCCTACCAAAACTAATACCTGGACTTTCTCAGATGCTAAGATAGGCACCTGCACCTTGTCACGTCCACGCCGGCAGTGATCATGGGGGGCACTGCTGCCTCAGGATAAAACTCAAAGATCCTCTCAATCTGACCTCTGCTTACCTCTCCAGCCTCATCTCTTATGACTTCCCCCTAGACACACTGAATTTCTCTCACTTCCTCAAAGGTTCACGCAGCCTCTTGTTTCAGGACCTGTTCACCCAGTTCCTTTCCTGAAACACTCCCATCCTCCAGATGTCCCTTCTCTGTCCGGCCTCCTCTGCCCCCGGCCCCACACACCTCGTGAGAACTAAGAGCTGTAACTCTGGAACCCAAGCATGGGTGCCATGTGGCCGGTGAAGGGCAGTGTCACAGCAGCATCCACTGGACTAGGCGGCTGTAAATATTATATTACCCCCATCTTTCTGTTACTACCCATTTTGAAAACCTAGATTCTAAATAACTGCAGGATATTCTATTCAAACAACACAGATTCTCTCCAATTTTTGTCTGTTATAAATAAGGTTTTGACAGACCACTTACTAGTTGGTTGATCTGAACTTGGAACAAGCTAGTTAACGTCTCTGTGCCTCAGTCCTCCATCTGTGAGAGCAGGAAACTCAAGGGCCGCAGTGACCATTTCACGACATAAAGCACCCGCAACAGTGTCAGGACATGTTATCCTTTCTGGGAAGGTTAACTATCAATATTTTTATTGGGGCTCAGTCTATTTCTATGTAGGATGGCTTTCTCAATTCATTTTATTCAGTGAGTATTTATTTATCTTAATGTGCATAAGGCACTGGGCCAGTCCAAAGGATATAGAGACAAATGGAACAAGTACCACCCCGACTCTCATGGAACTTAGAACTCAGGAGGGGAGACGGATGTTGAACAAGTAGTTGCAGATGTGATTAGTGTTACAAAAAGCCAGGTAAAGCATACCTGGCTCAAGGGTGGCGAGTGCTCAGGGAAGAGCTCCTTGAGGAAGGTAGCCATGTAAGAAGTTAGTCAGGTACCATTTAGAGCATCAGGAATACAACATAAAGCTCTAAAGAGATGTGGCCAAATTGCTTTCCAGAAGAGTCAAACATATTTACACCTCTGCCAGGAGCGGGAGACCACTTTTTGCCATATCATCAAGGCGCATAGAGACATGGAGGGCTGCGATGCACACTGTCAAACTTACCTCCTGCGAGGGCTTACAGTACCTCCAGCAACACAGGAAGGTGTCACACGGTATTTAAACCACTTGCCTCTCCTATCCTCCTCCGTGAGATAACTTTTACATAACTGCAAATAGCTAATAACTCATTTCTCAACCTATTTTCAAAAAATTTTTTAATTTAGGAAAAATCAATCTTCAAGACTCAATCTAATTAAGACTTACAAATGTTAAATTACAAGTATTTTAAAATAAATTATTAACTCTCCCTAGGTTGCCAGGACTCTGGGTGACCTGAGAACATTCCCGCGCTGCAGCTATCTGGAAGCCAGTGCCTGTCCTGGCTACATTCATTTACTCAACAAGGATCCACAGAGTGTCTGCTCAGCCTCAGGCACCAGTCAAGGCACAGGGGACATTCTGGGGAAAGGGACAGAGGGCTCAGGCATTAAACAAAGAAGTGCCATGATGAGCCCTCCTTATTCAAGAGTCTAGGCTGCCTTGGAGAAACCTTCCTGAGGAAGTGACCTCGAACTGAGCCCTGGAGGGTGAGAAAGGACTGACCAGACCAAGGGCAGGTGTAGTGGCAGATGGGTAGTAGCTTTCCAGGCAGGGCCTGGCTCTGAGTCAGGAGGAACTCAGGCCACTTAAGGAACTGCAAGACTGTGTGGTTTGTGGGTCAAGTACATGACCGATGCCAGTGAGACAGTCAGAAGGCAGGTTCTGCAGGGCCTTGCACAACATGCTAAGAAATTTATACTTCTCTAGTCATCAAACTATAAGTAAAGACAAACAAA